AATAATAATAATAAAAACCTCAGCAAACTGCCTTGCTTGAGTGATTCACCTTTTCTTCACCTACATCTGCAGGCCACTGCGGTCCAGCCGTGCCCTGCTGACTCCCACACTGCTTCACCGTCACACGTCCGACTGGGCCTCTGTGATCAGTCAAACTGTCCAGCTGTATCAAATGGGCTGTACACCCCAGCCGCTCAGGGCGCACAGGTAGAGTATATGCAATTGATTACGACGTTGTTATTATGACCGCTGAGCTGTGCAGTCAGCAAGCAGGATGACCGAACAAGCTGCAGAATTACAGAACACAGAAAACAAGCCTCTGGGGGACTGCCTACAGACCATGTTGCCACATCTAACAACAAATCCAATTTTCTGTTTAATGCTAATTAAACCGTAACTGCAACTCCTTCTATAGACACAGACTGAGTGAAGAAATGTGTTTGACAAAAAGAGTTACACCTCCCCCTGTTGGAGAACAAGTGCATCGTCCAAATCCACTGCAGACTATTAAGAAAATTGATGGACTAAACCAGAATATTATTAAAAAATAAAAATAATGAGTTAATAAGTTTTGAAGAAGTCCTGTTAACAGCAGCATTCTGTAAAGTTGTTTTTTGTTATCATCAAGAAGATGCACGTCTGTCATCTCTGGGCTTTTGTCCTCAGAGGGCTGACAGATTATGTAAAGCAAACAGGAAGTAGGCCTGGACTGATCAGGGAAGGCAGGGAGATGCCTATCAAATATGCATAATGGTTTCCCGGTCTGATGGAGGATCAGATCCATCTACGTCGCTTTGGAAAGTATTCGTAATCCTTGAACTTTTCTATGTTTTGTCACAATACAACCACAAACCTTATTATATCTTATGTATGCTACCAACAAAATGTGAATAATTGTAGAGAGAAAGAAGGATGAAGAGTTCCCAATTTCTTTTTTAGGAAAAATGAATCTGAAAATGTAGCTTTCATGCTTCATATGTCGAGAAACTGAATTTTCCGTCAATTCCTTTTTCAAAGCTCACTCTGAGAGCTGATGCAGCGTATTTCTTCACTACCACATATATAGTGATTCATATGTAGACCAAAGAACTCAATTTTGATTTCATCTGTCCAGAGGACCTTCTTCTATGTGTTTAGTGCAAACTACAGACAAAACGTATGTTTTTTTTTTTGTCCACCAACAAAGTGTTGTGTTAAAATTATTTATAAATGAGGTCTTAGAGCTGCAGAGTGCATGAGTCATCTTATGACTCTTGGCTGCTTTTCTTATTATACTCTTTGTTCGTAACCTGTCAATTTAGACTGGTCATTTCCTGGTGATACTGACGCTGGGTCTTCATGATGCTGTTTATTCTCTAATATTCTTAAACAAACTCTGCGGCCTTCAAAGAACAGCTATATTTATACTGAGATTAAATTACCTGTGGGTGGACTCTGTTATCACTAGAGTTTGGTGTAGGGTGTCATGGCGAAAAAGAGCTGAAGTATTGTTTATGCTGCGATTCTCAAGTGTTTTATTTACAGAAAACGTTCAGGGGAAGATCATTTTCTGCCCACATTAAAATTACGCCTTGCTGTTGTTCTATCAGGTGAAATCCTATTATGATCTACCGAAGTTATCCAGCTGTAACGTGAAAGCGTAAAAAAAAAAAAAAAAAAAGTTTAAAAACTTTTACAAAATGCCTTACATGCTAAGCTTCTCGCATGCACACAATTTTAACAGTTTCCGTTACAGGCATGAATGAGGAAGGATTTCAAAGACGCATTATAAATACAGAGGAAGTAGTTTCTCTTACATTGTGGCTCAGGTAGGGTAGCTCAGTGCTTTGATCAGTGTTCCCTTTCTTGCCAGCAGAGAGCAGTAGAGGGTTTCCGCAGAGGCTCTGCTTCTGATGTGGTGACCCAGGCCGCTCTGTCAGGCCCCTCAGCCGGACGACGTCCCAGCAACCTAGCCCAGCTAGCCGAAGACGACCTGTGAACTCTTCTGAGTCAGGAGGACAACAGCTGACTAATGCTGTGAAGACACCACTTGTGTACTTGTTCGCACACCTGAGGTGTATGCTTGTTGCGGGACTTCCAAGGAAGCTGAAGTATAAAGGGGATATATATATATATATATATATATAAACTGCTTGGCTCCCTTTTAGAGAGCCACTTAAAAGGGAGGTGATGTGGCCTTGATCACCTCCAGTGAACAGCGAGAGCATCCAGCGCGATGCTGCTAGACTCAGAATTATGAAACACTCTTGATATGACAATTTCTGCTTTCTACCTTCTGTTTCTTTTTTTGTTTGTTTGTTTGTTTGTTTTCTTTTGAAGAGTTTGTATTCCTCTCTTTGAAAGGGATGGAGCGAAATCTTGGATGATTCCATTCCTAATTGGGGCAATCACTGGAGCTAAGTGTGTGCCTGAATGTGTGTTTGTGAAAAATGACTTGTGGATATGTGGGTGTGCATGAGAGCAGGCAAGGAGCGCCTCTTCTTGTTTCCTCTGGGAAATTTCTTTAAGTTTCATTCTGATACCCTGCAAAGGAGAGACCCCCATTTATATCCATATGATTTTTATTATTTTATTTTTCTTATTTTCCCTGCTGACACCTGAGTGTGCTGTCTATGTTAACAAGAACAGGAAAGCCAGAACATTTGAGGGGGTCATCGCAAGAACTTTATTTGCTCAAATTTAATTGAAAAGTGAGGAACTTTCTTTGTTGCAACAGTGTTGAGGGGCGCCCTGCGTGCTCCAATATTCTGTTTGACCGGCCTCCCTTTGATCTGGACAAGAAGGCATGAGGGAGCCCTCTGGAGGTTCTCTGTGGGTATGACGTCAGCCCATGCTTCTTTTTCCCCTCTTTGGGCAACTCCTCAAGAGTTGAAAAAACGCATCCATAGAGACTCACCCAAAGTGTTGCATGCATAATCTCCTAGGTCACTGACTGGAGCAATGCCACATTACGCCTATCTTTTGTTATCCTTAAATAAGAATTGATTTTTGTTTTAAAAAGTAAGTTATACTATAAGTCAATTCTTGTCATGTCAAGACCCTCGTTCTATAACTTTTGCCCTCATGGATCTTATACTGTACATACCATAAAGAAAATGTACTTTAACACAGCCACTTGAAGGATGAACTATGACCCTGGTATGCCAAGAACTCTCATCAATGCAGCTGGATGTTTGCATGATTCTTCTTCCTAAAAAGTGCCAATAACAACAGCAGCTCAGCAATTAGGATGTTTTGTGTCCTTACTATAGGGTTCGGCTTGCCATTCCTCGTTCAAAAAAAAAAAAAAGAAGAATCAAGGATATTAATTACTGTTAGCATTTCAAAAACAGGAGCTGCAAAAGGAGAAAAGCTCTCCTATTTGTGGCCGCTAGGGGTCCCTAAAGACTTTCGCCTCCAGTTCAGTTAGATCATACAGCTGCACCAAAGATCAAAAGGCCTCACATTTCAGAGCTCCCGTCCAAGATACTTGGAAATCTTTTCACAAAAACAACAAAACAGACTACCACTATCATTCACTTTGAAAACAAAACAATCCAGAAAGATAGGACGTTAGCTGATTTTAACTTCTGTTTATTTTACAGAGCTTTCATTGGAATGACTGATCAGTCAGTTTTGCATGAAACACACAATGGAATACCTCTACAGAGAACCAAAAGTAAAAGGTGTAACACAGAGAGAAGGCTGGTTGGTGTCACATTTGAGCGACTAGAAAGAGTTGTATCATATAAAATAAAAGTGTCTTTTTTGAAACTGAGCAAAATGTGTGGGTTTATGTGTCCCGGTCTCTTCAGTTTCTTCCAAAAATAATGCAACGATTTTGTCATGCAACATTTTTACAATTAAAAATTTTTATTTTTTTTTTTGTTTACCTGTGAACTCTAAATTTATTTGTGAACTCAAATGTGTTTTTATATGCATCTGGCCTGTTGTAACATTAACAGATATTTACTTAATTAATGATATCCCTTAAAATGGCTTCCCTAAGTGCTGCTATCTCCGCTTCAGTGTTTGATCCCGACCGTTCAGAGTTTTACCTTTCAAAGACATGAATAAAATCAGCTGGTCAGATTTGCATTAGCAACAAGTTCTGCAGACTGAATGTTGCAAGAACTCTGCATGTCTACACCGGCCGTGAGTTTCTGTTGCGGTGACTGGAATGACTCTAAATAACTTTTAAAATGTCACCGTGACATTACCATCAGTTATGTTGTCATTGCTGGAAATTACTGCTTTCATTAATAGAAATAGAGCTAATTTCCACAGAGTTTGGATTGACAGCACTTGACTTTTGATATCTGTGCAGCACTTGTCTGACCGCACTGCTCTCAGTCACATGGTGGACTCTGCTGTTGCAGTGGATGGAGATCTATGTCCCCATATATTTCACCAGCACTCCTGTAGGAGGAGAAACGGCCCAGAATCAGGGGACATAATGTACGCAAACGGTCCAGTTTTGGATCCTGGTGTACAAACAAGCACAAGAAGCAACTAGGTAGGTAGGTAAATTAGTTTCTGAGGAGAAAATTTTCCTGAAGTGAGTGAAAAAGCATCTTAACGTATGGTTAACATATGAACCATTAGACATTTTAACCTGAGAGATTAATGGAGCTAAAGAAAAAGAAGTCTTTTTCACTCACTCATACAATCGATTCAACTACATGCCAGGGCTTTTTTTCTGGAATAAGTTTCAGGTTATCTGATTTAGCCCAGGGGGTTTCTGTCCCTCTGATTTCATGAAAATAAACCGATGGCAGCAATAAAGTACAGTGGTCCCTCCACTGTGGGACCCCCGATAAATTTCACTTATTTTCGCTTCCCCACCAGAGGAAGTTGAAACAAAGAGAAGAAACCCCTGGATGATCAGACATCTGGTTGGCTGGCCATCTGAATAAAGCCTCATTCTAGGCTGTAAAAGCAGAGCCCATCGTAACACGGCCGTGATATATGGAGGTCTTGGGTGGGAGAGGTGGGGAGGAGGTGGGCGGGTATTAACTTTCACAAGGGTGCAAAATCAAAGGGAGTTCCTGTCACCACAGAGGGGTCTCGGGCAACAGGGGTCCCATTCACAGGGAATTCCTCTTCACTGCCCCTGTGATGCAGCTGTTGACTCAATCCTCTCTATTGGAGAAAAACAAAAAGAAAACACTCATTAAAAAGCCATATGACTGTGAACTTGATTGCAGCGGGCGGCACAAACGGCCCCCCCTCCTCATTTACTTTGAGGTGTGAAGATCTTTGAACAGCCCCAGCATGTTGGATGTTTTTTAGGGGCTTCTTCCTTCACACTGGCATCACAATGGACAGCAGTTGTATTCTAAAAGCAATCAAATTACCATCGAAACAAAATGCTAGATCTCTCCGAATGGACAAAACTGGGGAGAAAGTTAAACTCTACAAAACACAGGAATGATGCAATGAGAAGCTATTTTTCTTTTCTTTTTTTTTCATGACAGTGTTTATTCAAATTTACATGCTGCCAAAACCCAAAGTCGTTTAGAATAGTTTTACATAACTTACAAACAATTTAAAGTTTGAAAGGATTAATCTGCAGCGTATTTTATTGCTTTGCCTCTTAAAAACAGACAAATTAAAGCGTTAAAATTTCCAAACCATTTCTGGGTTTCAGTTGGGCAAATCCTGAATGAAAACCGAGTTACGATTTGCAATCCCCCCCCCAATAGTTTCTGAGATAACTGCAGTTTTTCAGCTAAGGCATACATTTAAATTCAACTTAATTCATTAGAGCACATATTAAGGTAGAGAACCCTATCATCAGCTGTTTAACATAGTCAAATATTTACACAATGAAGTCTGAAAAAATAGACTTTCACACCAGTTGAAATTTAAATAAGATTTACATAATGAATATCAAAGGCTCTTTAATCCTTCACGCTGAACTATCGCTATATGACTGCAAAAGCTTCATCTTTAGGGTCAAAAAACAATCAGAATTTCACTCAACCAAAGTCTTTTCACAAGAGTCCAGGTTAGTTCAAAAGCAGGATTCTGACGAGGAAGAGTAACATTCAGGGAGCTCTTACCCTGTAGTGCAAATCTATGGCAGTAAATGTGATTCCCACAGTTATAGATTTTACTTATTTATTTATTTTTTGCTTTATTTTAATCTGTATGAAGCAGATCACTCTCTCTTAATACTAGCGAGCATTGGGTCTGTGCCCTGAGGGGGCTGCCCGGACCGACCCTTCCTGCTCTGGTGGGTTTTCACGTGTTTGGACAGGTGGTCGCTCCTCATGAACCTCTTGCCGCACTGCTGGCAGCCGAACCTCTTCTCCCCGGTGTGCGTGCGGAGGTGCCGCTGCAGCTCGTCCGAGCGCGTGAAGCTCTTGCCGCAGAAGAGCCAATTGCAGATGAAGGGCCTCTCCCCGGCGTGCCAGCGCAGGTGCGCCTTCAGGTGGGACGTCTTCTTGTACACTTTGCCGCACTCCGGGATGTGGCAGATGTGCAGTCTCTTCTTGCCGAACTCCAGCCCCCCGCTGTTCGTCTGGCAGTTCGGACATTTGCATCGCCGGCAACGGCGCGTGGAGCTCAGCAAACCCTTGGAGGTGCCCTGGAGGAGAGCGGCTATCTGCGGCTGGTGACCCAAAACCAGCTGCCTGCCCAGGGAGAAGGGGTGGTTGCCTGGAGCGCTGTTGGTTTGTGGTAGGCTCCACCACTGCTGCCCGTCCTCCACGTGGCCGCCCGAAAGGTGATGCCTGGCGGAGGAGTTCTGCAGGAAGCTGGGGAAGTTTTGCCCCACGCCGTTGTGTTGGGGGTAATAGGGGCTGCTGGACTGCGGCTGCGAAGACAGCACCTTAACAGGGGACAGTTCGAAGGAGTAGGAGGACGCAGGTTCAGCCGGTGGGGTCAGAGGCAGCTCGTGGTGGTGATGATGAGGATGGTGGTGGTGATGATGATGGTGGTGACCCAGGCCGGACTGCATGTGCCCAGGAAACTGCACCTTGGGCACCGTGAAAGTCATCTGGTGCGTGCTGAGGGCAGTGCTGGGGGCCATNTCAGAGTGATGTGACTGTTTCGACAATTATGAGTCAAACGGTTCCTTCATTGATCGCTCAGAAAGACTTTTGGTTGATTATTTTTGAAAAAGGGAGAGTTTTCTGTGGTGCAAATACATAGACAAACATTTCTCTGACTGAAAATTTTAGACATGTTCCTGAGCTGGCCGGGGTTTAATATCAACTTCACAGTCATAACAGGTTTTAATGCAAAGCTTTTCACAGGACAAGTTCTGTCTAAACATAACACTCATTAAACACTCTTCACACATTGCCATGGAGGTGTAAAGCTTCATGAGCCCACAAACGTCTTACATTAAGTATTTTAGATGCATTTTGTTTTTTGGTAAAATAAGCTATCAAAGACATTTTTGATAGATTTTGCAAAGTGCAACAAATGTTTAAAGTGTTAGTGATTTGTGCATGTGGATAAAACGAATTGAGAACATGTTTGTAGTCGTTGCCACCTCATGGACAGGATCACCAAATATTTAATAAGGGCTCATAAACACACTAGAATTGTTTATTTTGTAGGTGACGTTAACATCAATGAGCTTCCGTGTGTGAATCCGGACCAGTGAATAACGGATTACTGCGTGTCATAACACTGTAACATCAAACAGAACAAGAACAACGTTGCCAGATAATTAAACCGATTGGGCTTTTTATCCTCTCGCAAAATAAAAACACGCATCTGCTTCATTGCAACGCTCTTTAGCACGCTTGCAGAAGTTTGCCAAAAAAAAAAAAAAAAACTGACTGCGCTCTCTTTTTTTCTCAGCCTTACAATCACCAATTGAGTATCAGCGACGAGAGAGCAAGTCCAATAGCCTGGGCCGCAGCATGAGGCCCCCTCTGTCTGCTGCGAGCGCCCTGAGGCCCCACTCATCTGCCTCCATCGACCGCCACAAGCTTCCCTCCCTCCACTCTCACAACACCTCTCTGCCAGCGCTCTACCTGCCGAGCCAAAGCCAGAGCCAAGGGCCGAGCGAGATGTTCTCGTTGAGGGGTGTAGGTATCTTGAGCTGTATCACTCTGTGGGGGAAACGTCACTGCCGTTGCCCTTTGCACACTGTTTCAGTGCATGCTGCACCAGAAACTCTGTTTTTCAAGCTTTTTGTCGCTGCATATCTTAAATGTGGAAAGAATAATAATAATAATAATAATAATAATAATAATAATAAAAACCTCAGCAAACTGCCTTGCTTGAGTGATTCACCTTTTCTTCACCTACATCTGCAGGCCACTGCGGTCCAGCCGTGCCCTGCTGACTCCCACACTGCTTCACCGTCACACGTCCGACTGGGCCTCTGTGATCAGTCAAACTGTCCAGCTGTATCAAATGGGCTGTACACCCCAGCCGCTCAGGGCGCACAGGTAGAGTATATGCAATTGATTACGACGTTGTTATTATGACCGCTGAGCTGTGCAGTCAGCAAGCAGGATGACCGAACAAGCTGCAGAATTACAGAACACAGAAAACAAGCCTCTGGGGGACTGCCTACAGACCATGTTGCCACATCTAACAACAAATCCAATTTTCTGTTTAATGCTAATTAAACCGTAACTGCAACTCCTTCTATAGACACAGACTGAGTGAAGAAATGTGTTTGACAAAAAGAGTTACACCTCCCCCTGTTGGAGAACAAGTGCATCGTCCAAATCCACTGCAGACTATTAAGAAAATTGATGGACTAAACCAGAATATTATTAAAAAATAAAAATAATGAGTTAATAAGTTTTGAAGAAGTCCTGTTAACAGCAGCATTCTGTAAAGTTGTTTTTTGTTATCATCAAGAAGATGCACGTCTGTCATCTCTGGGCTTTTGTCCTCAGAGGGCTGACAGATTATGTAAAGCAAACAGGAAGTAGGCCTGGACTGATCAGGGAAGGCAGGGAGATGCCTATCAAATATGCATAATGGTTTCCCGGTCTGATGGAGGATCAGATCCATCTACGTCGCTTTGGAAAGTATTCGTAATCCTTGAACTTTTCTATGTTTTGTCACAATACAACCACAAACCTTATTATATCTTATGTATGCTACCAACAAAATGTGAATAATTGTAGAGAGAAAGAAGGATGAAGAGTTCCCAATTTCTTTTTTAGGAAAAATGAATCTGAAAATGTAGCTTTCATGCTTCATATGTCGAGAAACTGAATTTTCCGTCAATTCCTTTTTCAAAGCTCACTCTGAGAGCTGATGCAGCGTATTTCTTCACTACCACATATATAGTGATTCATATGTAGACCAAAGAACTCAATTTTGATTTCATCTGTCCAGAGGACCTTCTTCTATGTGTTTAGTGCAAACTACAGACAAAACGTATGTTTTTTTTTTTGTCCACCAACAAAGTGTTGTGTTAAAATTATTTATAAATGAGGTCTTAGAGCTGCAGAGTGCATGAGTCATCTTATGACTCTTGGCTGCTTTTCTTATTATACTCTTTGTTCGTAACCTGTCAATTTAGACTGGTCATTTCCTGGTGATACTGACGCTGGGTCTTCATGATGCTGTTTATTCTCTAATATTCTTAAACAAACTCTGCGGCCTTCAAAGAACAGCTATATTTATACTGAGATTAAATTACCTGTGGGTGGACTCTGTTATCACTAGAGTTTGGTGTAGGGTGTCATGGCGAAAAAGAGCTGAAGTATTGTTTATGCTGCGATTCTCAAGTGTTTTATTTACAGAAAACGTTCAGGGGAAGATCATTTTCTGCCCACATTAAAATTACGCCTTGCTGTTGTTCTATCAGGTGAAATCCTATTATGATCTACCGAAGTTATCCAGCTGTAACGTGAAAGCGTAAAAAAAAAAAAAAAAAAAGTTTAAAAACTTTTACAAAATGCCTTACATGCTAAGCTTCTCGCATGCACACAATTTTAACAGTTTCCGTTACAGGCATGAATGAGGAAGGATTTCAAAGACGCATTATAAATACAGAGGAAGTAGTTTCTCTTACATTGTGGCTCAGGTAGGGTAGCTCAGTGCTTTGATCAGTGTTCCCTTTCTTGCCAGCAGAGAGCAGTAGAGGGTTTCCGCAGAGGCTCTGCTTCTGATGTGGTGACCCAGGCCGCTCTGTCAGGCCCCTCAGCCGGACGACGTCCCAGCAACCTAGCCCAGCTAGCCGAAGACGACCTGTGAACTCTTCTGAGTCAGGAGGACAACAGCTGACTAATGCTGTGAAGACACCACTTGTGTACTTGTTCGCACACCTGAGGTGTATGCTTGTTGCGGGACTTCCAAGGAAGCTGAAGTATATATATATATATATATATATATATATATATATATATATATATATATATATATATATATATAAACTGCTTGGCTCCCTTTTAGAGAGCCACTTAAAAGGGAGGTGATGTGGCCTTGATCACCTCCAGTGAACAGCGAGAGCATCCAGCGCGATGCTGCTAGACTCAGAATTATGAAACACTCTTGATATGACAATTTCTGCTTTCTACCTTCTGTTTCTTTTTTTGTTTGTTTGTTTGTTTGTTTTCTTTTGAAGAGTTTGTATTCCTCTCTTTGAAAGGGATGGAGCGAAATCTTGGATGATTCCATTCCTAATTGGGGCAATCACTGGAGCTAAGTGTGTGCCTGAATGTGTGTTTGTGAAAAATGACTTGTGGATATGTGGGTGTGCATGAGAGCAGGCAAGGAGCGCCTCTTCTTGTTTCCTCTGGGAAATTTCTTTAAGTTTCATTCTGATACCCTGCAAAGGAGAGACCCCCATTTATATCCATATGATTTTTATTATTTTATTTTTCTTATTTTCCCTGCTGACACCTGAGTGTGCTGTCTATGTTAACAAGAACAGGAAAGCCAGAACATTTGAGGGGGTCATCGCAAGAACTTTATTTGCTCAAATTTAATTGAAAAGTGAGGAACTTTCTTTGTTGCAACAGTGTTGAGGGGCGCCCTGCGTGCTCCAATATTCTGTTTGACCGGCCTCCCTTTGATCTGGACAAGAAGGCATGAGGGAGCCCTCTGGAGGTTCTCTGTGGGTATGACGTCAGCCCATGCTTCTTTTTCCCCTCTTTGGGCAACTCCTCAAGAGTTGAAAAAACGCATCCATAGAGACTCACCCAAAGTGTTGCATGCATAATCTCCTAGGTCACTGACTGGAGCAATGCCACATTACGCCTATCTTTTGTTATCCTTAAATAAGAATTGATTTTTGTTTTAAAAAGTAAGTTATACTATAAGTCAATTCTTGTCATGTCAAGACCCTCGTTCTATAACTTTTGCCCTCATGGATCTTATACTGTACATACCATAAAGAAAATGTACTTTAACACAGCCACTTGAAGGATGAACTATGACCCTGGTATGCCAAGAACTCTCATCAATGCAGCTGGATGTTTGCATGATTCTTCTTCCTAAAAAGTGCCAATAACAACAGCAGCTCAGCAATTAGGATGTTTTGTGTCCTTACTATAGGGTTCGGCTTGCCATTCCTCGTTCAAAAAAAAAAAAAAGAAGAATCAAGGATATTAATTACTGTTAGCATTTCAAAAACAGGAGCTGCAAAAGGAGAAAAGCTCTCCTATTTGTGGCCGCTAGGGGTCCCTAAAGACTTTCGCCTCCAGTTCAGTTAGATCATACAGCTGCACCAAAGATCAAAAGGCCTCACATTTCAGAGCTCCCGTCCAAGATACTTGGAAATCTTTTCACAAAAACAACAAAACAGACTACCACTATCATTCACTTTGAAAACAAAACAATCCAGAAAGATAGGACATTAGCTTATTTTAACTTCTGTTTATTTTACAGAGCTTTCATTGGAATGACTGATCAGTCAGTTTTGCATGAAACACACAATGGAATACCTCTACAGAGAACCAAAAGTAAAAGGTGTAACACAGAGAGAAGGCTGGTTGGTGTCACATTTGAGCGACTAGAAAGAGTTGTATCATATAAAATAAAAGTGTCTTTTTTGAAACTGAGCAAAATGTGTGGGTTTATGTGTCCCGGTCTCTTCAGTTTCTTCCAAAAATAATGCAACGATTTTGTCATGCAACATTTTTACAATTAAAAATTTTTATTTTTTTTTTTGTTTACCTGTGAACTCTAAATTTATTTGTGAACTCAAATGTGTTTTTATATGCATCTGGCCTGTTGTAACATTAACAGATATTTACTTAATTAATGATATCCCTTAAAATGGCTTCCCTAAGTGCTGCTATCTCCGCTTCAGTGTTTGATCCCGACCGTTCAGAGTTTTACCTTTCAAAGACATGAATAAAATCAGCTGGTCAGATTTGCATTAGCAACAAGTTCTGCAGACTGAATGTTGCAAGAACTCTGCATGTCTACACCGGCCGTGAGTTTCTGTTGCGGTGACTGGAATGACTCTAAATAACTTTTAAAATGTCACCGTGACATTACCATCAGTTATGTTGTCATTGCTGGAAATTACTGCTTTCATTAATAGAAATAGAGCTAATTTCCACAGAGTTTGGATTGACAGCACTTGACTTTTGATATCTGTGCAGCACTTGTCTGACCGCACTGCTCTCAGTCACATGGTGGACTCTGCTGTTGCAGTGGATGGAGATCTATGTCCCCATATATTTCACCAGCACTCCTGTAGGAGGAGAAACGGCCCAGAATCAGGGGACATAATGTACGCAAACGGTCCAGTTTTGGATCCTGGTGTACAAACAAGCACAAGAAGCAACTAGGTAGGTAGGTAAATTAGTTTCTGAGGAGAAAATTTTCCTGAAGTGAGTGAAAAAGCATCTTAACGTATGGTTAACATATGAACCATTAGACATTTTAACCTGAGAGATTAATGGAGCTAAAGAAAAAGAAGTCTTTTTCACTCACTCATACAATCGATTCAACTACATGCCAGGGCTTTTTTTCTGGAATAAGTTTCAGGTTATCTGATTTAGCCCAGGGGGTTTCTGTCCCTCTGATTTCATGAAAATAAACCGATGGCAGCAATAAAGTACAGTGGTCCCTCCACTGTGGGACCCCCGATAAATTTCACTTATTTTCGCTTCCCCACCAGAGGAAGTTGAAACAAAGAGAAGAAACCCCTGGATGATCAGACATCTGGTTGGCTGGCCATCTGAATAAAGCCTCATTCTAGGCTGTAAAAGCAGAGCCCATCGTAACACGGCCGTGATATATGGAGGTCTTGGGTGGGAGAGGTGGGGAGGAGGTGGGCGGGTATTAACTTTCACAAGGGTGCAAAATCAAAGGGAGTTCCTGTCACCACAGAGGGGTCTCGGGCAACAGGGGTCCCATTCACAGGGAATTCCTCTTCACTGCCCCTGTGATGCAGCTGTTGACTCAATCCTCTCTATTGGAAAAAAAACAAAAAGAAAACACTCATTAAAAAGCCATATGACTGTGAACTTGATTGCAGCGGGCGGCACAAACGGCCCCCCCTCCTCATTTACTTTGAGGTGTGAAGATCTTTGAACAGCCCCAGCATGTTGGATGTTTTTTAGGGGCTTCTTCCTTCACACTGGCATCACAATGGACAGCAGTTGTATTCTAAAAGCAATCAAATTACCATCGAAACAAAATGCTAGATCTCTCCGAATGGACAAAACTGGGGAGAAAGTTAAACTCTACAAAACACAGGAATGATGCAATGAGAAGCTATTTTTCTTTTCTTTTTTTTTCATGACAGTGTTTATTCAAATTTACATGCTGCCAAAACCCAAAGTCGTTTAGAATAGTTTTACATAACTTACAAACAATTTAAAGTTTGAAAGGATTAATCTGCAGCGTATTTTATTGCTTTGCCTCTTAAAAACAGACAAATTAAAGCGTTAAAATTTCCAAACCATTTCTGGGTTTCAGTTGGGCAAATCCTGAATGAAAACCGAGTTACGATTTGCAATCCCCCCCCCAATAGTTTCTGAGATAACTGCAGTTTTTCAGCTAAGGCATACATTTAAATTCAACTTAATTCATTAGAGCACATATTAAGGTAGAGAACCCTATCATCAGCTGTTTAACATAGTCAAATATTTACACAATGAAGTCTGAAAAAATAGACTTTCACACCAGTTGAAATTTAAATAAGATTTACATAATGAATATCAAAGGCTCTTTAATCCTTCACGCTGAACTATCGCTATATGACTGCAAAAGCTTCATCTTTAGGGTCAAAAAACAATCAGAATTTCACTCAACCAAAGTCTTTTCACAAGAGTCCAGGTTAGTTCAAAAGCAGGATTCTGACGAGGAAGAGTAACATTCAGGGAGCTCTTACCCTGTAGTGCAAATCTATGGCAGTAAATGTGATTCCCACAGTTATAGATTTTACTTATTTATTTATTTTTTGCTTTATTTTAATCTGTATGAAGCAGATCACTCTCTCTTAATACTAGCGAGCATTGGGTCTGTGCCCTGAGGGGGCTGCCCGGACCGACCCTTCCTGCTCTGGTGGGTTTTCACGTGTTTGGACAGGTGGTCGCTCCTCATGAACCTCTTGCCGCACTGCTGGCAGCCGAACCTCTTCTCCCCGGTGTGCGTGCGGAGGTGCCGCTGCAGCTCGTCCGAGCGCGTGAAGCTCTTGCCGCAGAAGAGCCAATTGCAGATGAAGGGCCTCTCCCCGGCGTGCCAGCGCAGGTGCGCCTTCAGGTGGGACGTCTTCTTGTACACTTTGCCGCACTCCGGGATGTGGCAGATGTGCAGTCTCTTCTTGCCGAACTCCAGCCCCCCGCTGTTCGTCTGGCAGTTCGGACATTTGCATCGCCGGCAACGGCGCGTGGAGCTCAGCAAACCCTTGGAGGTGCCCTGGAGGAGAGCGGCTATCTGCGGCTGGTGACCCAAAACCAGCTGCCTGCCCAGGGAGAAGGGGTGGTTGCCTGGAGCGCTGTTGGTTTGTGGTAGGCTCCACCACTGCTGCCCGTCCTCCACGTGGCCGCCCGAAAGGTGATGCCTGGCGGAGGAGTTCTGCAGGAAGCTGGGGAAGTTTTGCCCCACGCCGTTGTGTTGGGGGTAATAGGGGCTGCTGGACTGCGGCTGCGAAGACAGCACCTTAACAGGGGACAGTTCGAAGGAGTAGGAGGACGCAGGTTCAGCCGGTGGGGTCAGAGGCAGCTCGTGGTGGTGATGATGAGGATGGTGGTGGTGATGATGATGGTGGTGACCCAGGCCGGACTGCATGTGCCCAGGAAACTGCACCTTGGGCACCGTGAAAGTCATCTGGTGCGTGCTGAGGGCAGTGCTGGGGGCCATGTCGTTGCTCCATAGCTGGAACATTCCAGATGTGGAGCTGACGGTCCCTTCGTAGGGAAACTGTGACCCATCCGAACCCATGGTGCTGCCCACCTGCCAGGCCTGGCTGCAGGTGGTGGCCAGGAAGGAGAGGGCGTTGGGCGCTCCCTCCGGAGAGGAGCTGGGCGTCCGGTCCTGTGCGGTGACACACAAACGCATCACCATTCGTAAAAGTTACGTTGTTTTACTCTGTTTTTTTAAATAAATATTTTCAAAAAGTTGACCAAATTCAATTCAAAAGTATATATATATATATATATATATATATATATATATATATATATATATATATATATATATATATATATATATAAAGAGAGGTGATAACTGGAAACTGGAAATACATATATTTCACTCATTTTAGCAAAAATGTGTAAAGGCTAAGAACAGTACAGTCAAAGGGGAAAAATGCAGAGGAAATCAAACATAAAGTGATACCAGTTAAAGACAAAAGAAGCAAACCTGCAGGAAGGTGTGTAAAAAGTTGTCAGTCCTCTGTATCGTGAGCGCAGCCATCTGTCCTCGCGCTCCTGTTCCCCACCTGCAGCACAAACTGCTCCAATAACGCACGGAATATGAAACTATCGCTGGAGATGCGGCAGAATGGGCGCATCAAGATTTTTTATTTATTTATTTATTTATTTTTAACTCTCCGACTCTGGGAAATCCTGTTTCATTCAAATGTTCCGTGTAAAAAAAAATGTATTTTCTGTTCGCAGTCAGTTGAACCAGTTGAAGTTAGAGGTGCGCGCTGCAAAAATCCAGTGCGAACAACTCACAGACGCGCGAGCCGCATCTTCTCTTTATAGAGAGAAAAGATCCTCTCAACGGGGTCTCCAGTGTGATGCAGGCGAGCCCATCAATAGAGTGGGGATGAGACGGAGGAAGCAGGAGGGGGGTCTTGTTAGGTGAAGGGGTGGGCTACTCATAATTTCACTCAATTTCAACCAAATGCTGACCCCGAGAACTGACTCCTCCTCCAATTGTTCTGACAGAAAGACTTTAATAAAAAAAAAAAAAAAAAAAAATCCCCACGGGTTTTTTTTTCACTGGACTGGTTGTGGCTGCTCTCGTCTTGGAAAGAAGAAAAAGGAAATAGCCTACACATATAGGCCCCACACACTAAATTAATTGTAGAAAGTGTTGAATAGTAAATCAAGTAAATTTAATTGTATTAGTTTGTAATGTAAGGTTTATTAATGGTTGAATTAAGTTCAGTCGTTAGTTTTAAATCCAGCAGATATTAGAATTATAAATCAGATGAAGAGGTTCTTCATTCTAATGTCAAGCAGAAAATGGCATGCTTGATAAAATTCCTGTTTTGGTGAAAGAATTTGAGTTTTTATCCAGTTTTAGCTAGCTTAGTGATAATGCTAATGCTATCGACAAATCTGCATGTAAATTGAGCGTTTTAACCCTTTAATGCAAGACACACCTTAGCTGTGTTTGTGTAAATGTTCTTAACATGCCATCATCTCATTTGTTTATTTTTAGAAAGTTTATATCCAACTTAAACTAGTTTAATGACAGCACCAATGTCAACGTCACACTTACTAGCAAGCTAATCTGAGACATGCCAGCATGTTGTATTAGATTTAGAAAATTATATCACTAATATTTATATTACATCTTATACCTTTGCTATTAACATTTTTTTTTGTTTTATTCCTTTTTAATATGGGAAGACAAATAAGGTTACCAAAATTATCATAATTAGTCACAATTTGTTAGTTTGTTTCAATTTAAGTTTCTTTAAATTGTTAAACTTAAATAATTTTTTTACCAGAGGTGCTGATAGACTCGTTTTACTGAGCCCTAGGATATATTGAGTAAGTTTGTTACAACAATATAAGGATAAATTTAAAAACATTTCAAACTTTTGTAACAGAAAATACAAAAGACTAAGAAGAGGCAATGTCACCGTCCACAGTATTTTTGCAAATTATGCGACTTCTTTGTGAAGCCATTTTAGAAATGAAAACATGGAAGAGACAAGTGATCCCAAAGGTTTCTGGCACAACTTCAGCTCTGCTTTGTATGTAGAGGGTAAAAGCTCTGAAGTGGTTAGGACTGCATTAACTTGAAATACAGGGGAAACAACTTTTTTAGTAAGATGGCGGATCTTGGCTTGCGGCCTTCCTCAGGATCATAAATGAGCCTAACTTACTTGATATCTTATTTTAACTCAAAAATGAAATATGGTTTCACAAAAAATAAATACATGAACATTTGTAGCTGCTGAAAGAGTCTCGAAGCTTGTGATTTAGTAACAAAAAAACCAAGTATCACTTCCGTATGTGTGTGGAGCAAATTAAAAACAAAACTATACTTCTTGTAAATGTGTGAATCTAAACTTAAGCAGAAATGGATTTGATTTTTTTTCTCATATCTTGTGCACAGCTCTGTGTCGAGCTTCATGACTTCTACCCGAGTCTTATTAATACATAAAAATAAAATGCATGCTGATTGTCAAACCGATTTTATTGGTTAAATTCCAGCAGTTTGCTTCATCAGGGTAGAATCTCAAGTGATCTCAAGAGTTTGTATATCTGCATTTTTTTTGTTCATGTCTACATATAGCGTGTTGTGCATGAACAAAATGCTTACTCTGGTAAAAGTTCTAAGATTTCTAGAGCCACCTCAGTGAAATAATTTGCTCACACTGGGAACAAAACATTTGCATACAACATCAAGCCCTTGGTGGGATATTTGAAAAACATAGAAAATACAAGAAATGTATTTTTATCAAGTATCAGTGATGCTTGCAAAATCACCAACTATGATCTTATTCAGTCACAACAGCTACAGTTCTCTCATTTTAAGCCATTTATTTAAAAAAGAGAATCTTCTAAAAACTGAAGCTTAATCTTGTTAAGGCAGCTTCTGCATGAACTAACAAATAATTGAATACATGTAGACACTTTTGTTGTGAATTGTGTCTAATTAGATTATCCAGATCAGTATTTTTGTGCCTTTAGGAGGCAAACAGTGGTCACGATTGGCCGGCGTGGGGCTCACACAGTCCCAGGAAAGTCACAGCATTCCCCCCACCCCCCTCACAGAGTTAATTGATAAAACTCAATCAAAGCCTTTCCAAGCTCTCACCAGTAGGCGACATGTCAAATAGGCTGCCCCGTGTGACATTCTCACATTTCAGAGTTCAAGTAGAGGCCACTTCAGATCTGCTCCATTAAATGCAGATCGGGAGGCTTAATCTCATTCTGTAAGTCTGCTCACCATTACAATGTTAAGAGTTTAAATCCAGGCTGGGAACCTGTTCTCATGTAAATCCCCCTCACCCCCACTCCCATCACCCTCTTCTTTCTGATCTGCTCCTCACTGTTTTCCACTGTGTGATCCTTAAATAAACACGGCCTCAGGAGAAGGAGAAGCCACCTGAAATTAGGATTTGAACTATAAAAAGACGTATGCTTTAAAATGAATTTGAAACCAAAGGGGAGTTTAGTTCATTAATCCTAGGGCACTTCAACTGAGAGTCTTAGGGTAGTGTCAACAGACAACACCCAACTTAAGTTGGGTGTTGCACCCACTTTTACGTGTTTCACTGTAATTCAGGTGTTGGCAAAATCCTTTCCCCCCATACAAAAATATTTTATTTTTACCGTTGTCTTATCACTATGCATGTAATACTCGAAAGTGAGGTTAAATTCCCTGTTTGGGTGCGCAATCTTGGCCAATAAAGTCGATTCTGATTCTGATTTATTAATCCGGATTAAGCTCAAAATGAATGGTATAATTCCAAATTAAGGGGAAACATCTCCGATATGACGGAACAGCGTTAAAGGAGTGCATTTTGGAGGCAGAAGTGTACCGTGTCTGCGGTTTATTACTGAGCAGAAGTTGTTAATTACCCCGATTCTTATTTCCTGTCCCCTCTCCCCACCACCCCACTCCACCCCCACTGTACTGCCTCCCAGAAGAGTGTCTTTGAAGTGCAAAGTACTCTCTCCTCACTTTGAACTGTGAAAACAATGCTCATGTGGTGGTGCTTACCTTCCCCATGTTACCTCATTTAAATAGACCTGGATAAGGCTTCCACAGTATTCAAGGGAAAACTAATTTCCAGAGAAAGAGGTCCCTGTGTTCATTAAACAGCTGGTTAGACTGCTGGTAATCAGAGCCGCTCCGTCATGTGCTGCGCGTTCCTCTCTGACTGAGCGGCTACCAGCAGCTTCAAAACCAAAATCCCAACAAGATGATGCAGATGTTCTTGTGTACCTATTTCTAGACAGCAAAAATACATTCAGGAAAACAAGACAAGCGATTCTAAGACTTTGGAAGAGGTTCTGCGATTGATGTTCCCGGAGTCTTGAAGCGGTTTTCCTGTTTTCTAGATACGGAGGACAAATGGTATTTGTTTTGCAGAATCTTAAACTCGTGGTGTAGAATATGCAAGAGGGTACTCAAGCTGTTTTTTTTTTAATCATGCCTGGGGGGCAGTTTAAAAGCCTCAGATCACTAAATTGTCCCAGCTGTCTCGACCATCTGCACTTGAAAACGGGCCGCCACAGTGGAGAGCAGCCTTTGTGCTGGTGGCCATGTCAAAAAGACGGTTTTACAGCGCTGCCCTAACTGAATGGCCCTTGTGTGACAAATGTGGCCTAATGGAGCAGACAGACAGACAGCATGTAAAAGCCTTCTGCTAACCGCATAGGACTCAATGAGTGACCGTTCTCAAAGCTGATGCTGGCAAGGTGGAACGTTAGCCTTTATTTTCTTGTTTCTTTGCAAAGAGAAACAACACAAACAGCTGGACTTTAGAGTAAGGCAAACCAATGCTTTGTTATAATGGAGCGCTGAAGGCAAAGCGTCGGAAACAGTAGGAGATTTTTAAAGAGACAGAGATGCAGCTATGATTCAAAGTAACAGTTTTTTTAAGGTTATTTTTTTGATATATTGAGCAGTTTAATAACTGAAAGTAACATAGTTAACTGATTGAGCCATAAAATGTCATCATGTTCCCGGAAAATAGATAATAATGTCCTCCATCTCCTTTATAGCAAACTGACTAAATATAAAACATGTTTTGCCTTTACAGTAAGGTTGCAGTAGAGAGTAATATTTTAATCAGTAAGTAAAGGTTATTTGAAATATAATAAGACCAGGTGCCATCATTATCATCAAAGGAAAGTCACTGCAGTGATTTAGGAATGGCTGAAGTTGGGTTTTCTTTGTGTTGGTGATTGTGGGAGAACTGTTTCGACAGAGGCTCCTTAATGATTGAAACTTTTTTTTTTTTTTTTTTTTAAAAAATTAGTAAACAAAAAAATGAAATTGGGGTTTTTTTTTTTGTTTGTCCCCGTTACAGGTATTAAT